TTGTTACGATAAGGGATGTTAAAATTCAAATATATGTAATATTTCATATAGCCATGTAGGGGTGTGCAATGGTTTGATTCATACTAGAATGTACGGACCAAACCAACACTTGGACTGAACCGGATATAATATTGTTCGATTTTTTACAAATTTTTTATCGGGTATCAGGGAACCATGTGACTATAAATTAGACTTGATCAAAATGGGCATTCAATCTGTTTGAACGACCCATGCCAAACTCTAATTATTCTTTACTTTTAAACTTTCTATTTGAAAATAAAAAATAGTGAAAGAAAAGAGATGACTGCAATTCGCCATTTGCACATCACTAACTCGGGAATAAAACCATAGAAATTTGAAAGGAAACTGAAAATGTTTAGGATCATTTTAATGTTAAAAATAATCAAATAGATCTTTCTGTTTAGTTTTTTACTAACAAATACCAAACGATTCCCTATAAAATACAATATAAATTAATCATTATGATATCAAATAATTACATAATATATATTTGAAATGATAAAAATTGGACTAATTGGGTTGTTCGAGGTTGAACCATTGAATAACTTTAAAATACATTATATTTTAGCCACTAAGATATAAAATAATATTATGCTAGAGAAAATAGCTTGTTTCATAATAGCAAACCCATGATGTTCATTTGTTATACTTGATGGTCAAATCCCGTGTAGGTCAGGCCCATTCAACTCTTTTATTTTATGGTTAGCGGTTAGCCCATTAGAATCCATGCATTAGTTTATTGTTACTTGATGGTCAAATCCCGTGTAGGTCAGGCCCATTCAACTTCTTTTTAGCAATAAAAAGGAGTATTTTTTTTGGCTTTTCATATAAATTTTACCACCACGGAGAATTAAAAGGCTTAAAGAATACATATTGACACTCATGGACTCGTTTAAACCCGCATGTATACGATAAGTTGGCCCGTTCCACAGAGGAAAGAGAAAAAAATTGGCACTCTCTATTCTACCCTTCCTACAAATGCTCCTGGAGCAAGGAATTTGAAATGGGAGAAGGGTTTTTTCCTCCCTGCTATTATATGTTTTTAATTTAAGAAGATACTATAAATGTACTTAGTAGGATTTGTTATGATCCTTCCTTTTCTTTAAAGTGGTAATGGTTTGAATCCCAGTACGTGTCTTTTTAATCAATAAAAACCGTTTTTCCTTCCTACTATTATATATTGTTATATATTGTGTAGATAGACTAATCAGCTTGCCAAGGGATTTTGGGCGGCGGGATTTGGGTATTAATTCTAGGCAGGCTGTGCAATTATTGACTGAACTGGGCCAGGCCCATACAATTGAAAGGGCACTATTCCGTTGCATTCATCATTACCAATCCGAATAATTTCTATGGGGTTGGTTAAAACAATTTGGGCGGTTAGTAAATGAAAATGACAAAACAATTTATTTATGATTTAGGGGTCGTTTGGAAGTTGCGATTGTTAGCATTGTATTTGTTAAATACATGCATTGTTCACAATACAATGTTTGGACAGTGGCGGATCCAGAAATTCTACATAGGGGTGTCCTCTTCAAAAATTAAATTAAATATTAAAATTAAATAAAATAATTATTAAATATGAAAATATCTGACTAATAAAAGTTACATTAAAAGTTCAGACATGTTTCGTAAAATGGTAAAATACATTCGGTGTCTATACTGCTCAATAATGATCTTTCGACATATCCTACTAGAAAAGGGTATCCAGTAATTGGGTTTAATCGTTAGGTTTTAAAAATAATTTGGGATAAGAATAACATTTTACTATTATATTTGGATCTAAAACACAATAACAAATGAGTTGTAGTGTAATTGAAAATATGTTTACTAATAGTGACAGTGTCTCAAGTTTAAATCACATAAACTACTACTAAAATATTATTTGTACTAATACGCAAACTACTATGGGAGGTTGGATAATCGTTTTTCCAAATTTTAAGGGTGTCCCACTACCACTTAAACATTTTTCCCCCTCATATACAAACTACTATCGGAGGTTGAATAATCGTGTTTCCAAATTTTAGGGGTGTCCCGGGACACCCCTAGACATGCATGTATCCGCCCCTGCGTTTGGAAGTGTCAAGTTGCAAAACAATGCATGTATTGTTTTGTGTGGGTCCCACCAACAATCAACAAAAATGAGGGATTGTACAATCTCAACTAAAAGTTGAGATTGTTGGTTTAATAATTGAACACCTTTACTTTTTCCAATTATGTCCATAGTTCTTTTTGTTTTATATTAAAAGTGGAGGACAAATATGACATTTCCTTATAAAGTAACTTTATAACAATCAATTCATAAATTATAATCTCAACAACCAAACAATGTAATTTCAAAATGCATCTATTGTATCAATGCATGTATTTATATCATAGTGATTCATAACAATACAACGATTTAAGTGGTATGAACTAATTTTAAATGTACAGTCTTGAAATATGTTACATATATATTTCAATTTATTTAATGTTAATGGTATTTCACATTTGTGCATATAGTTTATTAAATCAGCATAGGCCAGCATGAACTAATATAAACCGGTTGTACTATATCATATTTTTGGTCATCGCGGTACATCAATCGATTTTTTCTATGACACCCACATGAATACCACCGGTATGACAGGTATGATAAATTTACGGCGTTTAAATAAATCACGTTGTTTTAGTACATGAAGTTAACTAAAACAATTTATTTATGATAGTCCATGAATATGAGAGTCAAATGTACATGAACTAATATAAATCGGTTCTACCCCGATAATAGTATTTCAAATTTCTACATATTTTATTAAACCATCATTGACCGGCATGAACTAATACAAATCGGTTGTTCCCCGATAAAACCATATCACTAGATAAATCATCACAACAGTATAAGCGAGTTAGACAACCGTGCTCTACACATACCTAAGGTAAAGTATTTAATATTGTTTGTTGTGAGAATTCATTATTATGTATCATAATTTAAATAAAATATTTTGTATTATTATAAGTCTATCAAACCTAACATACCATAATAACATATATAATAATAATGTAATCCTCATATACTAATAGTAATTAGTAATGTTGAGAGTACTAATACTATCCCATCTATTTCACGGAAATTATCCGGTTCCCCACTTTCCTCCAAATTCATCATTACATTATTAAACTTACACTCAACATAGTGGGAAGAGAAGGCCCCATTACATAATTCTACACAAAAAACAACGATTGCCACGCGGAGAAAGTTGAAAGGACAATTTGATTTTTATAATCGATTACTTATTTTATATAAAAATATTAATATTTGAATTCGGGTCTTTTCAAATAAAGACAACAATCAATTATATTAAACAAATTTATCGTATCATTTTAAATACAAAACATACACGAAGTTAACCTTTGAAAATTTGAGGACTTTTCCATTATGATAAGCAAACCTTCTAAGTCTATCGTATGTATTTTTCAATTTAAATATAAATTTTGTGCCTTTTTATCTTTGTTCTTATCTATTTCTAACTTTCTCCGAAATTCCTTACATCGTGCAATAGTTTGTGCCCCTTTCACTTCCCATTACAAGGCGCCCCTTTGAAAATCAATCTTCCGGTATCTCTTGGCACTAGGGTTTTATTGTTGGGGATTTAAGCTGGGCAAGTAGACGATTTCAACTCCGATATCAATCCATGGCGAATATAATGGAGTTCAATAAATGGAGTTGCGGAAGGAGGATTATAAATTGAATTTTTGGTTGAAACATATGCCTCTTGAGATTGAAGATAGAGTAGATAAAAATTTGATTGTACGACGGAAAGTGCTGGCTATTGGATCTTTAGGTTTATGGTTTTTGCAGCTATCACAACATATTTCTATCTTAAAACGAGGAATCATTGATTGAATTACTGAAGTAGGTCGATTTTTTATTCAACCTATTGGAACTGATATATAAGGAGTGTCTAATTTTGTGCTTTCTTGCTTGATCGAGTCTATTAGTATATTGAAAGGTAACCCTAATTTTGTCGTTTGCTCTCGAGTTTTGATGGTCCCTCTTAGCTGAGTTGTTAGTATATAGTTGACTCGAACCAACAACTCTCTATTTCTTTTTTATTAGTGACATATTTTTTCTAAAAGGAGAGTATTGGACTCTTTATGTAGGATTATGATATTAAGATTTAGTATCAAACCATATATCGGTCGTGTGAGAATTCCTGTGAGCTGTTACAGCCCGTTTGGTACCAAATCAATCCATAATTCATTTCATTGTAAAATGAATTACCATGTAGAATTCATTGTCAAATTAAATATTGTATTTGGTATGTCATATGCAAATCTGTAGAAATAAAATGAATTGTCGTGTAAAAATCATTGTCAAATGAATTTCTGTGTTTGGTATGTCATATGTATAAGTAATTTAGTTAATAAAAGAGGCTAATTAAGTCATTCTATAAATAATCAGTAAATACTTGTGGAATTCATTTGAAAATTTCATCTCAATTCCTCGGAATTGCTATAACTAGTCAAATTCCATAAAATTCATAATTTAGAATTGAAAATGAATTCTTTTAAATGCCAAACACAAACATGTTTCATTTTTAAATGAATTTCTCAAAACTTATAGAATTCATTTATACCAAATGGTATGTTATACTATCTTTCTTGACAATTTACTAACCAATGACATTTTAACAAGGCTTAATTATCACTATGAAAATGAGATCATTGATACATTTTTTATATTTCATATTCTTAAATTATTGTGATATTTCTCCAAATGTTGGACTTATATATTCTTTTTTTATGTATTATTTCGATCGAAGAATTGTCAATAAAATTAAGCAGATTGATAGACTTAAACATAACATAAATATAAAAATAATCAAATATAAACATTCCGGCCGGCTTCGGAGCTAGTTTTATATATCACAATGTAATTTTACCAGCATGCCGCAGCTCCTAAGTCTCAACTAGTCTGCTCTTGAACTACTACTACTATTACTATCTTCTGTCTAAGGGTACAAGTTAGAAGGTGACCTCTTGTGCACAGCCAGGAATGTGGGAGCCATAAGCCAAGCTTTAGAGGTTTCACAAGATGGTACATCGTTGGAGTCCCAGGGCCGAGAACAGCCTTCCCCCCGTTGGCCACAAGCGATACAAAAGGCCAGGCCTTGGTTCATCCACTGCATCTTCCAGCAATGGCTCTTTCTCGATCCCGTCATCCGACTCCAACTTAACATCCTCATTGTCCTTGTGCTTTTCTTCGGATGTGCTTTCCTCCTCTTTCTCCTTTGCTTTATCTTCTGGCCCAACCTCAGCTATCTCTCCAGGCTTCTTGTCAAAGAGCCCTTTGAATTGTTTTTTTTGCTCTCCGATCAACTTCCTGTTAATCAAATACGAATTCGGGAATCAAGGAATTCCCAATTCTTTGGATCGTTTCTTTCTGATTAGCACACATACCTGCTTTGTTTGCTTTAGTTTCTGAAGAGCAGCATTTGAATCGGACTCGGATGACTTGTCCACTTTTGCCATCTAATAGCACGTTACATAATGGATTTTGAGGAAATTCAAGTCTAAGAATTTAGAGAGCTTATGAAAGGGATAGTAAATAGTAAGTAAGGGGTTACCATTACAAAGTCGTTCTTTGCTTCATCAAAATCGCCAGCTTCCATGTATGCCATTCCTCGGCGGTATAGAGCCTTTGCATGTGCAGGACTTGCATCCAGAACCTGTTTTACTCCAATCTCAGGAATCTCGAACTTTCATCCTACTACGGCTGAAACACGTTTCTTCAAATGGAAACTATACCTTGTTGCATGCCTCAATAGATTTTCTACATTCCTTCATTTTCAGGTAGCAAGCGGCCACATTTAAGTGTAACAAATTCTTAAATTGGAAAGAAAATGAGGTTAGCAAGAATGGTTGAAAATAAAGTTGCAAGCAGTTCTGTCTGGGTTAAAACAGCGGATGAAAGACTACTTACCCGCGTGTTCAGGAAAACCTTCCCTTCCTCATCATCTTGTGGATTGACATGGTTAAACTCCCTCAGTACCTGTTTAAATGGACTACATTCATAGTTGAAAGAACCAAAAATTTAAAAATGTAACATGCTTAAACATCATACCTTCTCGTACTTGGCTTTCGCTAGTTCAAACTTTCCTTCTTTGAACAACCTGTTCCCCTGAAAAAAAGTAACAGTTACTATGACATATGTCCCATGAGTTGATACCTGATCTGCTCTTGATCTCACAGGTAAAGGAACAATATGAGCCACTAGAGTGTTCTACACTAGTACTTACTATGCTTCTTATCTTTTCAGCATCGTCCATTATACTCTGGAAATCCATGCCAGTCCAGTCCTGCAAATGGAACACAAAGTTGCATGTGTGGAAGGGGAAAAATTATATAAACTTCAAAGCTGCGATGACGAATGAATTAATTGGCATCCTCAACCTGGATTCTGGGATGTAAAGATAGTAATTTAATAGCAATAGCCAATAACAGAATTAGGGTGACCACAAAAAGGACAAGGAGATAAGATACCAGGTTGTCACCTGTGGCATCTCAAAACCAAGAAGCTCAATTTCCCATTGGACATAAGCACCTTCAGGAACATCGGTTGGCCTGACCACACATACAGAAGGTTAATATGTAGCTCAATTAACTAGAATGCTACGAAAAAAGAAGTGATAAAGTTACAATTGAATCAACAAAAGTGCATCTGCACTTGTTTCGGTAAGTATAAGAATCTAAACAACCTTGGAAATTTGTCGTATGCATAATCAGGAGGACATGTTACCAAAGCCAGCTCTCCTGGAAGCATCAGGCGGACAGACATTTCAAATCCTTCAGGAACCTGCAGCAACAGGCAGCAAAGTGAAGGATGTGGAAATCAGAATGAAACATCCAAGCAAGACAAAAGGATCCATATTGTCAAAACGGCTAATACGTAATCAATCACAATGCGTCAGCTGTGGCAGATATATTTAGATATGTTGACGGAATTAGCTATTTCCTTTATACTAGACTAAGAACTTACTAGACCTTCCCCAGAACTGAACTCCAAAGGCTGCCCCGCATTGTTGACACTTGTATCGTAGAAGACTGTCTTTTTGTCATTTAGAAGCATGGCCTTGTAATGAACCCGCAGAACACTGTCATGAAGAGGGCAATCCATGGGAAACTCACCTAGTGTACCACACAACCGAGACATATGTATTGTGAAATTACACAAATGTGTCTTGCAAAACCGTAGAGAAAGGGTTGTTAAAAGCCGAAGGCGAAGGAGAACCACCAAAAGAAGCATACGCAATCAATCGAGACCTTGTAACAAATTCTATAGCATACCCTTCCCATCACGAAGTCTACGTTTTATTAGACGCCCATCTCCAAGCATGTCTCGCACCTGTCCACACAAAGTGCAATTAAACTTATCATTCCGGGACCAGCTTCACTAAGCAAAATGAACGTTTTTCAAGCATAAAAAATGTATGACTAATAGAGATATTCTTTCAAGTGGAAACTATGCAGAGAGAACTGCTTATCTATTAAGAGTATTCTTTCATCCGCTAAGTAGTCTTTCATCCGCTAAGTTGTACTGATATAGTCAATAGTAATCAATCTTCAAATGGAAACTATGCAAAGTCCTGCTTATTTATTCAGAGTATTGCAACTTGAGAAGATAACCTGAAAACTAATTCCATGCATGGGCAATTTAAAAGGAATACATCAAACTGGCACCACCGTTGACCTTCATCTGGGATTAAAACCCACTAGCCAACCAATTAGGAGAAAGCAACAAGTCAAGAGTCTGATGGCCAAAGAATGCAGTTGACATAATTTAAATAGAGGCATGAGGGGCTTGGTATAAAATAAGCAAAGAAAGATGGACGAGCAAATGCTATACCATAATGACAAAAATAGCAGGAAAAAAATTGTAGTAAATTACTATGCCTCGGCCTTAAAAGACAAGATCAAGGCAAAAGAAAGCTCAGATTAACCTATGAGTGAAGAGAGTTAGAACAATGTTACAGACCTGAATGAAATGAACAAGCTCCACTTCAAAATGAACTTCATCCAAACCTTCAATTGTAGATAGGAGGGGAGACTGAGTTAAGTATTGGCCAGTAACATATATTATAGCCTTTTCTTCTCGTGCCATTGTTCCCATTCCCATCTCAAGACCTTTAGGTACCTAGAATAGTTGTTACAAGATCAAGCTGTTTCCAAAAGTCCAACGAAGTATAAAATCATCGGCCGAAGAAATGAAAATAAAATTCTGTTGAATTCCTGATTTCAATTGGATCTATTTAAAGAGGGGGGAATAGGGAGCAGAATACAGAACAGTAGAGTTTTCTTTAGAATTTAAAATTTTGCTAAGGTACATGAGGTATAAAAACAATTACAGAGAAAATATGCGTGTGACTACTAGAAAGCCAAAAATATTGACCAACCTCAGATTTCCCGAAAGTAAAGAAATATGGTTCCCCATGTGTGTGGGCCAGAATAACTTTCCCATCACCAGTTTTAGCTGAAATCCTAGAACAGTACATATTTTTGTAAATATTATGGGCATTACTTCACCATAAACACAAAACTGTAGAAGGAGTAACTATGAAGAAGCCTCAAATACCTGGCTTTTACTTCATATGGTTCCCTAGGAGACTCCCAACCTTGACCATCATCTATCACCTATCAATACAAACGATGAGCACAGAAAGAATGCTTTCAGAAATATGTGTAACAGGAAGACTAAGAAGCATGGGACCAACTCGAACAACAGATTAGGATGAGCATCTTGCAAAGAATTCCACCATGTGTGGGAAAAGAAGGTGCTTCAGGAAACTGGCTATCAACCTTTCAGGTTGGAATATTATTTCAGATCAACTCCTTCGAAATCAAGCACTGAGTAGTCACGCGTTCCTTACCTTCTTTATAATCCCCAAATCTTCGCTGACTACCTGAAAAGCAACAAACATGTTTTAGGACAGCGCTTCAATGATTGGAAGGAAATCAAGGTGCTTGATTACATCATGTACCTGCCTCTTGACCATGATCATATTAACTAAAAGAAGTATATAACTTTTTGACAGTAAATGTGTATAATTTCCGCAATCGACTATGCCAGCACAATAATGTAACAAAAGTATTTAACAAACTTCAATAAATCATTTCAGCAATCCATACAAATGGATGCAAGACAGCAATGAAGACCGGCGAACCAAAATCCAAACTAATTACCTTCACTTTTGAGAATTCTATCATTTCGATCTCAAAATGAAGTTCATCATCTTTCGGGAATCCACTTGGTGGAAAGATTGGACAATTAGCCTCGCCATAGTGCATTGATGGCTTCATTTTAAACTGAAAAATAGATTGAACAGCTCATAAGATGATACACCAAATATTCAAGATATCAACCATGAAGAACAAAGATGAACTTCGCGTTAGTTCAAAGCTCTCTAACATGTAGCTTTCTACCAAGGGAACAGCAAGAAAGGGGAATAAGAACAGATATGGCACTGAAAACCAAATAATTTCACCCAGACAATGTGAGTATTAGCCTTCAAAACCCGAATGCAGAAGAAGCCTAGAAATAAACTGCAACCGGTTGTCATATTGCAAACTGAAAAATTCAATACCATAGCAACTTCACCCTTCAGCATTGTGGTAAGTCCCTCAATGACTCCTATAAGCATCTTGCTTTTCCCCAAAACATGTCGCAGCGGAATGCCCTTCCCTACATGTCAATGACACGTATATTAAGCAACATCCAAATCACGATAACAATGAAGTTCTAGGTTAACATCGAACTGCAGGAGTAAACAATTGCACACTTTAAAATGATAACACGATATGTTTTCCTCTACATATGCACATTGATCATAACGTACAAGAAAAAGCTTACCCCCATTATCTGATCTAGTAGACTCAACAACTACTCCATCCAAAGTTCTGACTGTGCAGTGATATATGGCCTGTGAGGTGAATTATGATGACAAACCAATATCAATCACGATCCAGTAAGCAACTTAAGCAGTAAATTGGAAAACGTAAGCAGATACAAATTGGAAGTAACCTGATCACCCTCGGATGGTCTAACATCACCGCCTCCTGGCCTCATTTCAGCCTTCATTAAACTTCCAGGTTCAATTTTCTTTCTCCTAATAACCACAAGGTATGAACACAGCAATCAGAATCCAGTAATAACCAAAAGACCGAATCCCTAAACTTAGAACTCGGAACCGGCTCCTTGGACGAAGGAAAAACAGTAGAGAGAGACCGCTTCTCTAGCTCAGAAGGTTCTTTCTTCTTCTGCTGCGGCACGTACTCCTGCGCAACATCTTCTTCTACAGCCATGGCGGAAGACTATTATGAGCTGAGTCCTCACGAATGTTGAATTATCTCACTGTTCAATCTCACTATTGGCAAATGCACAAACTGGAAAACATTGTAGCAGTCAAGCACATCATCAAATCACTACTTGAAATTGAAGTCATGAATGAATCCAAACATTTCTAACTGCTACCAGTTGCTCCACCATTCACGAAGAGAAGTTGGTCAGCTGAAGAACTGAAATTTTGGGATTTTGCCTGGCTAGCAGACGAAGACGGAGAATCCCACGAAGCCGGCCGAACAGTGGGCAGTGTTTTTTTTTTTTTTTTGGAACAGAAACAGTGGGTAGTGCTGCAGGCAAATAATCAAGTCATGTATTCTAATTTCTATCACCAAAACCTCTTATTTTTTTATTATCTAAAATTTTTTCCTTTTTTTTTCCGTATAAGTTAAATGATTTTGGAGTCGTTGACCTCGTTAAACCTGATCCGACCGTTCACCCGACCGGGTTAGGACTCAACAGTCGAATATAGGTCAAGAATAGTCGAATATATTCCGTTAGTCATTTTCAATCGTCAAATGAATTTTAGAGGCGAGTTGGGGTAGTATTTGCTTTGAAAATACGAAAATTTCACATCCTGACAGGGCCTTCAAAATTAATGAAAGATCATTCTCAAGGAATGTGGTTCGTGGAATGCGACGTCAAGAAGAGCAAGCGCAACACTAATGAGCGCAACATTAATAATAATTATCATTCATTTAATTTTTTTTAATTAACTAGCTTGTTCAATTTAGTTTATATAGGTTGAACGAGCGAAACAAATTTTCTAGCGGACACCGAAAAGAATTTCAAGTTGAAGCATTGTTGGGAGATTTCAATATTCTCCAAAGTTCTTGCAACAATTTCGGGTAAATGCCAAGTTTGGTCACTAAATTTACTAACGTGTCATGTTTATCACTGAAAAAAATTAATATCAATTTTGGTCACTCTAATTAGGAAAAGGGTCCACATTTAGTCACTCTCCATTAACTTTATCTGATGTGGCAGTCAATTTCAACAATTGACCATTAAATGTCTGACGTGTCAATTAGAAAATTAATAAAAAAATTTTTTTATATTTCCACATCACTGGAATAATAAAATAAAATAAATAAAACAAAAAAAAATCCCTTCCCATCTAAGTGGTCCCCATAAAAATACCCACTGACGGCGCCTGCGGAGAGTCGCCCATGGATCAAATCGTCGTGACGGCAATCGTCTTGATACTCAACGGCTACATTGGGAGATGTGTCCTCTCTACGCGGTGATTTCCACGAGGATGGTCTCGACGATGACCCAATTCGGGAAAGACGACGAGATACTGTACGGAACCGTCACCTGGTTCGTCTACGTCGACATTTCCTACTTGCTCGTCATCTTTGCCGGCCTCATGTCCGGCCTCACTCGGCCTCATGTCTCTCAATCTCTTCGACCTCTAAATCCTTCAGCATAGCGGTACCATCGCCGAGAAGAAACAAGCAAGCATGCTTACTGCCAGCGGTTCCCATAACCCCTGCCACATTATGCGGAGATACATAGGGCAGCAACCCAATCCAGCGGTTCAAAAAGCCCGGTAGATTTTGGATTAAAACAATTATAAAAATCCGACAAATCCCAAATAGGCTGCTCGTCACATTCTCTACTTCGTTATCTCCAAAAACAAATCCCCTAACACTAGATTCAAACACCGTCGATTTCTCCGCCAGCATGGCAAAATTCACCAGCATCGAAATTGAATTCATCAAAGGCTTTGTCAGCGACGACACCATCTCCTCCTGATCTATTGACGACCACTGTCGAGACCTGTTCTTCTCCGCTAATTTCTCATCAGCGCCGGTGGGAACCCGTAGCCAACTCTGATTTTTTGTGCGAGATTGCTCCGCCGATGTGTGCATCGAACTCACAGAAGAGGCAGAGGCATAGCCATACTTTGTAGTTTGGCTTTTGATAGAGATTGCAGTTGAATCGTACACAGAAAGAAATTGATTTTGAGTGGGCGGGGATGGTAGGAGTTCATGACGAAGAGGGAAAGAGCTAGGTAGAAGTTGTGGTAACACTTCCCGCCGTAGCTTCACACGCGAGCGGCGAAAGTTGGGGTTGCCTATGCCTCGCATGGGTCAATTTGGAGTCGAGATGGGCAGAGCCGGTGGTGGCCATGGGCAAGTGATGGAGGTAATTTTTTGTTTTTTTTTTTTAATGATGATGAAATATTAAAATAACTAAATTTATTTTTTATTAATTTTTTTATTGCCACATAAGATACTTAACTGTCAATTGTTAGGGTTGACTGCCACATCAAATAGAGTTAACGGAGAGTGACTAAACGTGGACTGTTTTACTAATTTGAATGACCAAAATTTATATTAATTTTTTTACAGTGACTAAACATGACACATTTTAGTAAACCCAGTGACCAAACTTGGCATTTACCCCAACAATTTCTTTCTCTTGTGCCACCCATTACACCAATGGATGGATCTTTATTAGGCATGCCATCCAACGAGAGTGATAGCCCCAACGTTCAAGCAACTTCTTTTGTGATCAACCATCTCGAAGGCCAGGATAAGCAAAAGAAGAAGAGTACGAGAACTCCATATTCTTCCTCTAAAAGTTGGGACAAGAGTATGATCAATTTGGTGGAGAATTCATACATGCACGCAAAGTTAGTACTCGCTAGAGAGGAACACGAAGTTGAAAGAGAAGTAAGAGATAGAGCAAGGGATGTAAGGGAGAAGAACATGCCTGAGATTATGGTAATGAAAATGGCTTGAACTCGGACTTGTTACCAAAGACAAAAAGATAACATTGTGAATTCTTAACATGATGCTCCAGACATGTAATATTTTTAGTGAGTTTGCTTTATTGCATGTAATTTTAATCTAGTTTGATTTAGTTTGTATGTATGTTTTTACTCTATTGTAATTTTTAATTAGTAATGCAAGTACCTTCTTAATGAAAAATGGGAAATACATTAGCAAGACATGGCATACATAAATAAAACATAGAGAATACATCAATAAAACATAAAAAAAGGTACATAGAGAATACATCAATGAAACATAAAAATACATAAAGTAAGCATACAAACTTAATACTTAGGGAATACATCATATTTCTACCTTTCTCCATGTTTTGTCCACAAATACTGAATCAAATCGTTTCTCAATGCATGATGTCCTTGTCGATTACAAATCCTGTTATGTCTTACCATGTACTCCATAAAAGTCAGAATGTTATGCTTGGGTGGCTCCGATCTGACATTGGGATTACTCTCACATTCGAGCCACTTCCTCTTCCCCATACTGGTACCATTGATCTTTCATTATCATATTGTACATAATAATACAAGTTTACATAATATCACCAAGTGTTTGCACGTCCCAAAGATGACTCGACCCCCTAACAATGGCCCATCTTTGTTGATACCAAATGCCCTCTCAATATCCTTCCAGTAAGCCTCTTGATACTTTGCAAACAACTTCCTTTTCTAGTTACTTGAACTGCTAGTAGTATTCACAAATGTAGCCCACTCAGCATAAATTTCGTCAACAAACAATAACATTGATCGTACATCTTACCATTTACGTAATCACTGACTTTGGGAACCAGTCCTCAAACTTCTTGATCAAATAGTGGGGACACTCCAACAATATTGATTTCATTGCTTGATCCACGCGTTCCAAAAAAGACATGTCAAATCCATGTGTCGTATGATCATACAACTTGAGGACAATTGTTAGTTTCTTCTTGTGCCTAGTGTGTTAACATGCCCCCCAGTTGGGCAGTTCTTGCACTCCCAGTGCATTCAGTCAAAAGAACTAATTATGCCTGGAAAGCCACGTTACGCACAATATTATGGAGGTAACGAGTATCATCCACTGTTGGTGTACGCAAGTATTGAGCACTATAAATGTTGGTGATAGCCGATTAAAATTTCCTCAGACACTCCATATGATGCTCTCACCCATTCGACAAGTCTCGTCCAAACAGTCTGTCGACCATTCAAAAACAAGCATGTGGAAAGCACTAGTAAGAATCTGATGTGGGGAGAATGAGTCACGACCAGAACAATCTTTCCCTTTCTTGAAGTAGTCATCATAGTGAATTAAATATTCATGGCCCGGTTGAATAAGGTAGGGGGCATCCGATATCACCTTGTGAAGACCTTAACATCGTATATATGTTGGATTTGGGTTGAAAAAATCTTGCATCAAATGCTCGTGTCCGTCTTCCGTTGTATGTTTCATTGATTTTCGTGATGCTGAACTATGACTAGACGACATTGCTTGATGTTGGCGCATTTGTGTTCCATATGTACATCATGAACATCTGTCTGCTGACTACTCAAGTTGACACTCATACTCTCAGCCTCCCATTGCATGTCATAAGCTTCTATTTGCCTCTCATAAGCTTCTCTATTAGGGGTATCCATGAAGGCAAAAGAGTAATTGGTGGCTGGAGAGATGAATGAAGTATGGATAGTTTTTTTCCCCAAAAAGAAGGTTGAATGATGGATGAGTAGAATGACCAAGTTTGAGGGTTCATTTATAGAATCTTGAAATGATTCCTTCTGCAATAATGGTCAAAGTTGAATGAACAATTGATGGGACAATGAATACTTGATGATACAACTCAATCTGACAAACAAGAGATCAATTTTTTATGTCCAAATTTAAAAAATAGCAAAATGTTCCTTTTAATTAATTATCAGTACCTATGTAGAAATAATGAATAAATTATCTAATTAGAATGATGAAATCTCCACTAAATTAGATTAGAAGTCAGTGAAAATTTGGAGCTTTGGAATTTTGAATCTCAAGCAAAATTGTTTTTGTTGGGCTAGAATTCTAAATCTAGCTCTAATTTTTTGAATTTTGGAACTTCTTTTTCGATAAGGTCTAATAAGTTCATAAAATATAAGAATTGCTGATATGATCCCAAATCACAACACAATTCAGCTTTCATGGAGTGATCAATAAGCTAGTTCCATACACAATAACAAACCCGAAAAATGGCTAAGTCTTTTTATTGTTTCAGGGTACCTCATTGGAAGACTTGGAACAGGAGATTGGCTCGATGAAAATGTGTTTAATAGCTTGTTTTGAAGCTAGGGATGTCTTCTACAACGACAAGTGCTTGGTGGCTCAAAGGGAAGTCCAGAAGGTTGATTTTGAAGCTCACCAAGTTGACAGCTCAGAACAGGAAAACTGGCTGTTTTTGGCTGTCATTAAGCGTGTTCGAGGTGCTGACTTTGGGACACAATTCATGGAGTTTGGAGTATGATCTCAGGTTGATTCAAGCTAGAATGGAAACTAGAAGACTTTGTAA